AATGAGAAAAATTGCCCCCCTCCAATTTTGTTCACCTCCCCCCTTTCCCTTATTCAAAGAAATAATTCTTTCCCTCAAGTTATGGTCACTATCTCAGACAATCATCATTTCTTAATACATAATTTACAAGCAGTGTAAGGGAGGTAATCAAACATTGTTATTTAAATTGATTTGGATTTTGATTTTGATTACCTCCCTTACACTGCTTTTCAATTGTCTCAATTGTCCTTTAACCAGAAAAACCCTTCTTTTTCCCCTTTTTTGCCCCTAATTCCTAAATGGTTTGAGCCATAACCCCTCAAAGTCAATCCTAACCATCCCTTTGTAGTATGGAAACTTGTGGTATAATTTCAGAGAGATTCATACACTTTAACCCAAGTTATTGCCTTGAAACTAAAAAATGCTTATTTGGGCCCCTTTTTTGGCCCCTAATTCCTAAACAGTTGGGATCATTACCCCCAAAATCAATCCCAACCTGCCTTTAGTGGTACTAAACCTTGTGTTAAAATTTTATTGATTTCTATTTACTTATACTAAAGTTATTATCCGGAAACCATCTGTCCTCGGACGACGCTGACGACGACGACGACGACAACGTGATACCAATATACGACCAAAAATTTTTATTTTTGCGGTCGTATAAAACCCTTATTCAAGGGACTGGGCATCAGCAAAATGTAACTTGTTAGTAGATTGGATGATTTCCCCCATATTGTCTTAATTGGGTCTTAGATCTTGTCTTGCTGATCATTTTTGCTTACTGTATGTAGGTTTCCATCTATCTATTATAATTTTTAAGAAATAAGGCAAAAACGCAAAATATTTAAAAAAATCATCATCAAAGGGCAATAACTGTCATAAGGAGTAGGCTGACGATTTCGAAAATGTAAACTTACTTGTAGAACTTGTCTTGCTGATCATTTTTGCATTTTAATGTTTCTCTGTATCAATTATAGTTTTCAAGATGAAAGGCAAAAATGAAAAACTAGAGGCTCTAAAGAGCCTGTGCGGCTCACCTTGGTCTATATGGATATTCAACAAAGGACACTCACCAGCATTGTAGACAATAATAGAATTAATGACAAAAATCTCTGGTTTTTTTATATCTTATATTGCTGATCATTGAAGTCTGTTTAATTTCTCTCTATCTTATTTAGCTTTTGCTCCAAACACAAAAGAGGGGGAAACATTCCTAATTATAAGTTTTAAGATATAAGACAAAAACGCCAAAAAAATTGTACAAATCGGCATCAAAGGGAATTAGCTCTAATAAGGAGTCAACTGATGATTTCAACCATAAGACTTATTTGAAGAACTTGTCCTCCTGATCATTTTTGCAATTTAAAGTTTCTCTCTATCTTTTATAGTTTTCAAGATATGATAAAAGGCAAAAATCGAAAAAAAGTGGTAAAATTTGTCATTTAAGGGCAATAACTCCTACAGGAAATTGTCTTACAGTTTTGACGTATATGGATAATTGGTAGAGCTCAACATTCTAAACAATTTTACCCTCTTCAGATTTCCTCTTTTTATAACGGTTATCAGAATAATAGACAAAACTTACATTTTACCCCATAAGTTCTATTTTTTGCCATGTCGGCCATCTTTGTTGGCAGGCAGGATCATCGGACATATTTTTTAAACTGAATACCCTAATGATGATTGTGGCTAAGTTTGATTCTATTTAGCTCAGTAGTTTCAGAGGAGAAGATTTTTGTAAAAGATTACAAAAATTTACGAAAATTGACTATAAAGAGCAATAACTCCTTAAGGGGTCAATTGACAATTTTGGTCATGTTAACTTATTTGTAGATCTTATTTTGCTGACCATTATTGCTGTTCACAGTTTACCTCTATCTATAATAATATTCAAGATAATTTCCAAAAACTGCAAAATTTCCTTAAAATAACTAATTCAGGGGCTGCAACCCAACAACAGGTTGTCTGATTCGTCTGAAAATATCAGGGCAGAAAGAACTTCACTTAATGAACATTTTTACCGGTTGTCAGATTTGCTCTAAATGCTTAAGTTTTAGAGATATAAGCCATAAACTGCATTTTACCCCTATGTTCTACTTTTAGCCATGTCGGCCATTTTGGTCGGCGGGTTGGATCATCGGACACCTTTTTAAACTAAATACCCTAATGATGATTGTGGCCAAGTTTGATTCTATTTGGCCCAGTAGTTTCAGAGGAGAAGATTTTTGTAAAAGATTACAAAAATTATGAAAAATTGTTAAAAATTGATTATAAGGGCAATTACAGTGCTCCTTAAGAGGTCAATTGACCATTTTGGTCATGTTGACTTATTTGTAGATCTTACTTTGCTGTACATTATTGCTGTTTACAGTTTATCTATATGTATAATAATATTGAAGATAATCACAAAAAACTGCAAAATTTTCTTAAAATCACCAACTCTGGGGCAGCAACCCAACAACGGGTAGTCTGATTTGTCTGAAAATTTCAGGGCAGATAGATCTTGACCTGATGAACAATTTAAATACATGTCAGATTTGCTCTAAATGCTTTAGTTTCAGAGATATAAGTCAAAATCTACATTTTACCCCTATGTTCTATTTTTAGCCATGGCAGCCATATTGGTTGGCGGGCCGGGTCGTCGGACACATTTTAAAAACTAAATACCCCAATGATGATTGTGGCCAAGTTTGGTTAACTTTGGCCCAGTAGATTCAGAGGAGAAGATTTTTGTAAAAGTTAACGGATGACCGACGTTATGTGATGAAAAAAGCTCACTTGGCTAAAAAAGTAATAACTGTTATTTTTGAAAAAAATGCTGTAAGTTAAGATGTACCGAATTTCTTTCCATAGATATAAGAAGATGTGGTATGTGTGCCAATGAGTGCCAGTTCACTTGTGCATATGAACACAGCCATGAGAACAATTGGGAACTATATGTTAGCTTTCGATCTATGAGTTTGACTGTCCCTCTGGTATCTTTCGTCCCTCTTTTAGCATGTATAGATTTAGTAGCTAATCTGTCGACTTTCCGTTTGATAGCCAGCGCCTTAGGCAAGAATTGGAACAAGTTTCAATCTTTCCAAAAATCAGCAGAAATCTTCCTTTCAATACTAGAGTTAGTGCACGATTTTTTAAAAAGTAAATTGCCTTATATCTAACAGTTAATGCTCAGTAGCTCTGGAATGACAGAGCTAAACATTAAAATAAACTGTTGACACAGATATAGTATGTCTCGCTTTTTGGTAATTTGATAGTATAATGACAATATTGAATCAAAAGGGCAATATTTAAACACATGTTAACTATGCAAAACATTCAAAGTCAATGAACCATGACTTATGGTGCAGTACCAAATAACCCAATGGTAATTAGAATTGCCAATGCTTATAAAACTCCATACCAAATACCACCGACCTATCATAAGTGGTTCCCTTTTAAAATAACCTAAAAAAAATTTCAATTTGAAAACAATGTAAAAGTTTCAAGTTAATTAACATTGCTGAGAGAGTTGGGCCTTTGTAATCACCATGAAAAATACTTGCAAATGCTTAAACAAATGCATATCATAATATCATTGGTTTAACATAAGCTTTTCCTCGTAAACTGATCTAATCACAAACTTAAACATGTAAACTATAAAAATTCATTTGAAGTCTATAGACCATGACTAAGGGGGTTGAACCAAAAAAAAACTCCAATGCATCTACATACCAAATATTATTGACCTACCACTAGTGGTTCCCCTTAAACTGATCTAATCTCAAACTAATACATTGTTGACGTCACAGACATCCCTTTTTGACTCCGTCAAGGCAACACAAAAATCGGAAGGAAGATTTCTTCAGTCAATTTTAAAGTTGTGTTAAATTTATATGAGAACGGGTTAAACAGAACTGGAGATACATAGTGTAATTAGTTTTCTGTCTAAATTTTTTATATATACTGTGAATCAAAAAATTATTGTGTGATTTTATTAATGTGAATGTAAATCAATGGTTAAACATATGATATAAATAAATTCAATTTTAAATAATGCTGGGAACAATGAAAATAGCATATAAATCAAATGTATAATCTTGATAATCAATAAAAATATTTTTGTTAACACATAACAAAATTATAATACAATATCATAAATATGCATACTGTGAATTCATAGATATTTATGCACTGCTTATTTTCAAGGATTTTGTCAATATAGGTGAACCATTTATTCAAGTGAGCAAAAAATAAACAACTTTCATATAAGTGTGTATGTAAATATGTTTGGCTAGATGTATAGGGGCCAGGGAGGGTTGAGATCCCTCAAAATATGTTTAACCTCGCCGCATTTTTGCGCCTGTCCCAATTAAGGAGCCTCTGGCCTTTATAATTTTAGTTCATTTATAAGTTTTGGAGTTTAGTATGATGTCCATTTTCACTGAACTGGTACACATTTTTATTTAGGGACCAGCTGAAGCCTGCCTCTGGGTGCTGGATTTTCTCGCTGTGTTGAAGACCCATTGGTGGCCTTCAGCTGTTTTCTGCTCTGTGGTCGTGTTGTTGTCTCTCTGACACATTCCCCATTTCCATTCTCAATTCTAACTACAAGAGTAAGTAGCTATAAAATTATCAATTATTCCTCAATCCAGGAAAATAGGTAATCACAAACATATCTGAATTCACAGTTGAATTTCCAAAACATTTCAAATTCAAAAATTATTGGAATCAATACAAATACTAAGATATCACAGTGACAAATAGGTTTTCAAATCATTATTGTTTATGAAAAGGAACACAAATATTTTGTATATTTACTGTACAAATAAAGATTTTTCAATTTCATAGTATTTCCTCCTCACTGTGAACCGGGTCTGGTTATTTTAATTGGGCCGATGACTGAAAGTTTGAGTTTGAGTGCAATATTCTGATTTTTTATTGCCGGGTTTACTGCTTATATTTGAATTGGCCTCTCTGGGCTTCATTCCTGGATCACCACTGACTGTGAATGTTTAAATTTAAATTTATATTTAATGAACCTTTAAAATGACGCAAAAAAATAGCTAGAGATATCTAGAGCAGATCTCACAACTAAATGCCAGGAAAACGACTAGTTTGACCTTGTAAAAAGACATTCCAAGCTTATACATTACAAGCTCCATGATGCTGTTTAAACAAATAACAGTTAATAATAAATATTTTTCAATCTCTTGAAAATCTTGAACTATCAAAAATTCTGTAATATAAAAATAACAAGAAATATAAACATGAATTAATTTTATGATTTTAGAGTGAGATTAGACGCCACAAAATTAATTTGCTCGTGACACACAAGCAGGTTGAAGGCATCCAATACACATTGTATCAATAATTTTCTACTGTGACTCTGTGTTGTGCTTGACACAACTTAAAATAGTTGAACATAAGTTTTAAGGATTAAAATATGGTTAGTAAATCAATTCTGAAAATCTGGCAGATAGAAAATTCAACCTTATACATCTGGTTGCAGAAAAAATTGTACTTAGTATTATCAATAAATAGATAGTTAATGGCATTCAAAACTTCTAATGGAGACAAAATTTTAAACATGTATAAAGATGAGAGGTATGTAAAGTTGAAACTCATTTGTTATCTTGTGATACAGACAAATTTTTAATTTTGCTTCAGGCACATCCCTTAAAAATTTGGTTGTGGGCAACAATATGAACAATAACTATTATAAACCAATACCCTTTAAGACAATTAGAAGTTTTGAGCAGAACATGACTAGATCCTTTAATTTCCTGAGTAAGAAGTACAATAGTTTTCCACTTATAAACATCCAAGGATTAAATCGTACAGGTAATTATGTCAATGCATAAATACTAAGTGGTTCATCATCAAATGCTACAAATATATAGTCAGATGAAATGTTTTTACCAAACTGTTATTGAACTGCTTATATGGGAGATAACTCTAAGAGAACAACTTGAAGTTGAAATGCTGGTATACATACATATTATATAATACATGTTATAAATAAAATATAAAGAAATTCTAATATCACATTAAGCGTTACATTCTTTAAAATAAATTCTCTGACTATTGGTTTCAACCTTTTTAAGATCCTCACAAAAACACCAATATATTTAACTAGTAATTTAGTTAAGCATCAGTTAAAATTAAGTTTAACACATTAGAAAAAAATGTGCCACAGATCATTTTCATTTCATTTAAAACAAATTGTTTCATATGATTGCCACAAAATAAAACCTATTGAAAACAAATTTTAAAATAAAATGCATATTATTGGTAATCAATCATTATTAATGTCCAACTAAAAATTCATTCATTTATGGTGCAACACAAATATTTTCAAGAGCTCTTTCATTTATATCTTTATCTTTGATTCAATAAATAATTTTACGGTATTTAATGATGTATGAGGCATTGCAGAAATACCTTTCAACAATTAATCATAACAAAAGTTTGAAATATAAAATCAGAGGAGCAGCATATTTATCAAACAGCCACACACATGACTTGAAATGTTCATGTCCAAAAAAGTAGCCATTATCTTTTCTGAGATGTGAATATCATTGGATGAGGTACTGTCAAGGGAGTACTGGCCAAAAAACAAATTTAGCTATAACACTTGGACATGTTGGAATGCCTGACTACATTTTTGAATATTTTTCATATTCTGTCATTTTTGTAGCTTTCTGGTCCTGACTTACATTTGAGCAGATGCTACATATCAAATGACAATAGTTCAGGCATATCGATTCTGATAATGTTGGTGTTTATTATCAGAAAAACATCGAGTTTTTTTTCCAAACAAAATATAAGGGTTTGAAAAAAGCACAATTATTTAACAAATGTCAAACAATGTTTATGTGAAATTTTTCAAAGATCTGAAGTTAATTTTTCCAGTACCAACTTTATTCTATTATATCTTTAAACTAAATTAATAAGCAACTAATAAAAAAAACATAAGATATAAGTTTCTTAGTGCTTTTGATAAAAACCAATCAAGGAGTCATATTTTCAAAGTGTTGTTGAATATATAAAACTCCAAAAAACTTTTTTAATACTGATTTAAAAAAAGGTGCTTTAGAAATAAAGTCTGATCAGAAAAAAAAACTCATCATTAGTTAATCAACCATAAAAATTTCATCAAGGTCAAGTGATACAGTTAGACCAAAGATTTTTCCTCTTTAAATTTCCATACAAGCTATTAAAAATAGGCCTGAAAAACAGTATTTGTAAATATGTTAACAGTACTTGTAAATATGTTATACAAGTTAACTAATTTCTATTTTTAACTAAGAAAGAATAAAGCACCATTGGAAGAACAACAATAACAAACACTATCCCCCCAACCAGCTGATAAATTGGAGGTTTCAAAATGTCCACTTTCTGGTCACATAACTCATTGAGGCCATCAATTGTAGCATCATGTTTTGACTTGATAAAGTCGTAATTTGCACAGATCGTGTTTAGTTTTTCTTCTGTTATAACTGGCTTTATGCCAAAATGCAGGAGTATGGCCATAAACAGCACTTGGATGGTGATTAGAATCAATAGGCTTGGAAAGCCAATTCCTGCCAATGCTGGTTGTTGACCTCCTATGGGAGAAACTGGTCTAGCATCTGGCCGTATTCGTGGCGGAACTGGTTTCGCGCCTTCTTTAGATTCTTCTTGTATATTTGATTCTGTAGAGAAATAATCTAGACGGGCTTCAGGGTTTGTTACTTCTAATGCATTACTGAAAACCTGTAAAATAAAATTATTGCTGATGTATATTCATGTACTTCTTTTCCATTTTATGAAATTCATGCACTTGGTATAGTGCTTCTTTTAAATCTCTGCACAGTTTTTCGCTATCATTATTTTCTTTTATTCTGATACCAATTATTATATGTAAGTAATATGTAAAATCTTTAAAATACAAAACTTTAAAAAAATCATTATTTCCACAAACAATTTCAGTAAAACAAAGTAGATAGCTGTGTTCCCATTGTGTAAATATTTTCCTAGCAACTACTCAAGTATTGCTCCGTAACACCAAATAGTACTTGTTTACAGAAGAGGGGGGAGGGGGTGGTGCAGGGGTGGACAGCCAGGATTTTTTTTAGAGTCAATTTTTTTTCAATAAAGTAAAAAGCAAAAAAAATATAAAAAGTAAGCAGAAACAAAATGTTTTATTTTAATCATTTCAAGAACATACCATCTTTTTTTTGAAACTGTAATCATTCAACAGGTACACAGCGTTAAAATCAAAAACATTGGTTCTTCACTACATTAACATCCTTAGACTAATCAGCCACTAACCTGTGTCATCAGTTTAAGAACACGAACATCAATCTGTGGTATGACTGAAAACATATAAGCCATCTCCTTATCTATATCTTCACAATAATTCTTTATCCTAACAAAGCGATTGTTCGGTATTCCAAGATGTTTTCTGAATTCTGTCTCTCTCTTCTCCACTTCTGGATTGTTTCTTCCATTAAACTTGTCAGCTTTTGTCATGACACCATATATTGGAATACCTAAACATGCAATTTTACAATGTAATTAATACTAATAATATTATAATTATATAAAAATATGTCAAAATTTCAGACATGATGAAGGTTTGACAAAGATATATGATGTCTAAAAATTTTAAACTCAGATTGCATAAAAAACTAAGTCAATTTATCAGTAAAAGAACTTAAATGTTGACGCCACTGATGCCACAAAGTCTCACCTTGGCAATAAATATTGTATATATATTAAGGCTCAACAAAAACGTTACATATTTTAATGAATATCTACAGTTAAGCATGCATTAAGCAATCACTCATGGGAAGTATCAAAAGTGACCACTCAAGAGAGATGACCTTTTAAATGGGGTTTCCAAACATAAAATCTGATTCCGACATAGCACTTGGCGGGGATCGCGGCAAATTGTTTTAGTATTTTCAATTGGTAGAGTTACCGTTCGTGTGAGCAAATAAATAAAAAAAGCAGATTCAAGCACTCCAAATTTGAAGAAAACAATTGAATTAATTATTATTTGTGGATAAATAAGTCAATGATAGAGTTTTCAATGGAAACTGAAAGGAGTGGAACAGGAGAAATTCATCAATTCACCTCCTATTGCATGATCTTGATTGGTTGCAAACAGGTTTCAATTCTCATTTTGAACTTGATACTGAACACATATATTTTTCATCATGATTACATTTTGTTTGTTAAAAACATTTAAATGGCCATTGTAAAAATTGAAATTGCAATTTTGTGCAAAAATTTGGTGACCCCTGACCGCGTAAGACAGGTGACTGCTGAAAAGAGTTAAATTATAAATTGAAAATGTTTCGGAGGGTCTAATAGTGGCCGTTAGAGGCAGGTGATTGCTGAAACCAGGTGACCGTTAAGGCAGGTTTGACTGTACATATTAAGGTCGTCCTTATAGATCAGCACTGCTACATACCTCTTAAACCATGTGCAACCTCACTCACACATGCCATTAACTGTGTTGGAAGGGTAGTCAGAGGATCTCCTGAACACACAAATATAATTCGGTCTATCACTAAATATTCTTTGCTCTGACTATATCTTGTCTTTAAACCATTTAAGCCATAATTTTGGTAGTGGGTTAAAACATCAGATAATTTTTCAAATTCTTGCATCCTTCCATAAAAAATAATGTTCAGTAGCTCTCTGGTAAACTCATCGTTTTGGTCTTCAAAGCCTTTCATATCAATAAATGTTGGCATTAAGATTTCATCATCCTCTTCATTATTTGGTCCCTTCCTGAAGTAGTATTTCTCTTTTTTGAAACTGAAACAAAATCAATTTACAAACATTAACAGTCATTCAACATATTTAAGGGCTGCTACACATGTTTTTTGTAATGCCAAAAATAAAATTTGGATTATTTGATGTTGCCTACCTATCCACCTAAATAAGAAGCATACCCAAAACATTTTATGACACTAATCGGTTCACTTTTTTTTAAAGATTTTTTCCTGCTCTTTAATGTTGTTTTCTTGTCTAAAACATGTAACTTATGTTGTTGGGAAAAAATCCCTACCTATAGATACCTTAACCCAACCCTACAAGGAATCCATTGACATGGTATGAAACATCAAAAAAAAGGTTTTTTTCAAGGGTGGCCAAAGTATTATGACTTTTTGGTGACAACAAGTTAAGATGACTGATCATAAATATCATACAAGAATTGTATCCAGGAGATCACTGACATTGAAATTATCTATATACTGGTAATTTTATTTCTAAAGGGCATTATCATCAATCATGATCATGATTATACAACAACAAACATTGTTGATAGGTGCTATCATTAGTGAATCTGATAGAAATTTCATAAAAAAATTCTACAAAATATGTAGGCATGATAGTGCTTTCAATGCAATTTTCAATAAAAATTAAACCCAAACATTGCCAAAGGAACATAGCCGATTGACACTGATTTGGTAACTCATCTTAGACTTTACTGATCGATAAAAAACTGACAAGAAAAGTAGGCTTGAGAGGGCTTACAAGGATTTCTCAATAGATCAAATTGAGAATGGAAATTTACATTTCCAAGGTTCATTATAATAACTCTTGAAAAATAGTTAATCAGAAAATGTAGATGTGGCAGTGCTTACAATGCAATTTTCAATATAAATTATAGTCATTATATATATGTATAATAGTCATAAAGGGAAATAATTTCTGTTGATCAGCACTGATTTTCCAACTGATATCACTTTCCTTTGATTTTTTCCTCAAGCTTAACCTTTTACCTTCATCACTGTGATTAAATCCTACGTTTTGTTTCCATTGTTATAAATATTTTTATACATTATGTTTGTAAAAAAGAAATGTACAGAAAAGAAGCATTAAATGAAAATAAAAGTGTAAATCCACAATAATGTAATGCTGAAAAATTGAAAAAGGAAAGGAGTAGGCCCAGTAAGACCCCTTTTTCGCCCCAAAATATAGCAGTTTTACAAAATTGTTAAAATGTAAACTTTTAGCTATTTATTGGAAAGAAGAATTCTTCTGATACATAAATATGGGTTGTTTTTGACAATACAATGCACATGTATCGGGTACTAGCATCATTAAGTCTTGCTTAATTACTGAAATCTTCGAAATTTTTGCATTTTGGTTAATTTTAGACGGTTTCCGTCTGAAATGGAAGTCAGGCCGCATTTGTGTTCATTCTTAATATTTAAATGTAAGTTGTATTTGATGATAATACATAGCATATATAAAGGTTGAGAATGAACACGGATGCAGCCACTTTAATTTTTGACAAAAACCATATGAAAAGTGACATATTATGGCATATTTGATAGATTTTTCATATTTAAGCTTGAATTTGAACGTCTTTAATGACTTAATCAGTTCAAATCTTTCACATAAACTAATTGAATCGACTGAAGTAGACACTTAAGTGTTTAAAAAGTGTCCAAAATCTTTCATCAGATGAACCTGAACTTTGAGGCCAAAATCAGCCCTTACCGGACCTACTCCTTTAAGTAAAATCAAAATGTTCACGTTCTTTAAACATCACTCAAACTTATTAATAAATGATTTGGTAAAACTAGGTGACCAAAAAGGTGTTTGTTATGGGATATTAGATATATATATTAAATTGAAAATAAAATAAAGTGGCATCTGGACTTACATGCTAAATGCAACTTAACATTTCATGTTTATGACCAGGATATGTAAATGCCAGAAAAGAAAAAAAAAAGGTCTTGTATTACCATATTCTTAACTTGGGAGGCAAAAATGTGAAGTGTAATGTCAAAAGATGAATAAACTAGAGGCTCTAAAGAGCATGTGTCGGTCACCTTTCTGTATGTGCGTATTTAACAAAGGACACTCTCTTACATTGTAGACGAGAAAGAATTCATGACAAATATCTCAGTTTTGTTGATCTTGTTTTACTGATCAATTAGTTTATTTAGTATCTCTCTATCTTCTTCAGTTTTTGCTCAAAGCACAAAAGAGGGTTAAAAAAATCCTTATTAAAGGGGCTGGGCAATCACTCCTATAAAGAGAGACAGTCATCTAATTGTATCGGCAATTAATTTGACTTGTTTGTAGATCTTGCCTTGCTGATCATTTTTGTGATTTAAAGTGTCTATTATCAGTCAGGGGTACTACTTTTACAAGTAATTTTTATTTTCTTGAAGAAGTAAATGATAATATACTTATAAATATAAGTAATATTTGTTATGTTCATTATTCTTATAAGGTTTGAATAATCTCCCCTTAATTTTCTCAAAAAAAATACTTGTTTATATAAGTAATTTTTTTTTTACAATCCCTAAGATTCTCAAGATTTGAGATGTAAAAACATGCTTTTAATGATTTTTCTCTGGTTAGCTCATAATATTTTATTAGAGTTCAATGTTTCATCTCATTACCCCTACAGAAAAAAAAGTTGAGGGCCAGTTGAGGGCCATGTGGCAGACAGTTGAGGGCTAGCTGTTTTAAGCAAAATAGTTGAGGGCTAGGTGTTGAGCATCTTAGCTCAACTAAAACCTGGCCAAGCACTGTATGTTTGAAGATGTCGCTTAACTGGCCCTCAACTGAAGCTGGCCATTAAGTTGAGGAAAAGTTGAGCAATTGATCTTTGGTTTTCATATAGTTGAGCAAAAGTTGAGCATTCAGACTTTGAATTTTTTGTAGTTGAGGAAAAGTTGAGCATTCAGACTTTGATTTTTTTTTGTAGTTGAGGAAAAGTTGAGCAATTGATCTTTGGTTGAACTTTTCATATAGTTGAGCAAAAGTTGAGCAATTAGAAATATGAGCTGGTGATATAAATGTTATGTGCCATCTGTGTTCCATTTATCTCTGTGTATAATGCAAGTAGACAGGAAGTACTATAATAAATGTACACAGAGTTTGAGGCCAAATTAAGGGAAGCACATGTTTTTATACATTTTTCTGTATTTTAACTTAACTATAACTCATAACATAAAGATAAATTAAAAAAAACAAACAGTATTTTTTTATTATAAGATATATCAAATATTCATGATTTAGGTAATTAACAGTTACAATGTATTATTAGGGGCAAATTTCAAAGGGACCACACTGCCAAATACCCTAAACAACCTCAAACATTTAAAAAAATTTAACTGGGCTTGAGCATGCACATGGCAAGCAAAGATGTCTTCTAGCTATCATGAATAAAATATGAATTTTACAATGGATGTAGATCAAAAAGTTACAAATAACTGTATTGACATTGAATAGTGCAGTGTATTCTTCTGATGACATGACTCTTGGATTTAGGAAGATTGATGTTTTAACACATATTTATGGAAACATCTTTTGGTAAGTACATTGGATTAGAATTTCCACCATTTTGAATAAGTGTATATGCTCTTTTAGTTCAAAATAGTGATATTTAAAGTGTCTTCTTAACTTTTTAGAGTGAAGAAAAATTTTAGACAATATATTTATGCATTAATTTATATATTATCAAAATGTGTAAGACAGGAGACATATTTATTTTATTATTAAGACAATTTGTTTTAGAAAGTATTACTAATAAAATAAGAAAATTCTAATATGGCTGCAGGATTAACTAGATTTTATTTACTAGATAATAACTTTTAAAAAGCAAGGATAAAGCTGTCATGTAGTCTGTTGTGTGTTAAGATCTTTCAGCAGTATTTTGGCTATATGAAATACACAATTTAAATTTATTTTTTCTACAATGTGTAGTCATCAGTTTGCAATGACTAGATACATGTAATGCTCAACTTTTAAAGACCTGGTATTCAACTATTGGCCACAAGGCCCTCAATTTTTAATGACCTGGCCCTCAACTATTGGCCACCTAGCCCTCAACTTTAAATGAACTGGTCCTCAACTGTTGGCCAGGTAGCCCTCAACTCTAATTGCTCAACTGTTGGACACCTAGCCCTCAACTATGATATTTTCTCAACCTTGCTCAACTAATTTGCATAAAGTTGAGCATTTGATAGTTTAGGGCTACCTAATTTGCATGGCAAAAATCCAGGTAGCCCTCAACTGGCCCTCAACTATTTGCTCAACTGATGGCCAGCTAGCCCTCAACTGGCCCTCAACTGTTTGTTCAACTGGCGGCCAGTTGAGCAATGCAGTTGGCCATCCTATCATTTTTTCTGTATGGGTAATTCAACAAAGAAACTAATTGTGCCCTTGGGGGCTTGTAAATGAGCAGTGTTCTGAAGATAACAGACAAATGAGATTTTCATTGTCCATGAAATTACACTTACATGATTAGTAAAGACATCTGCAAAGGACAGACAATTAAAAATTCTATTAGAGCTTAGAATATAGCAAAGTACTCTCGACCAATGAAATTGTAGGATTGGATGCCTCTTAATTGTGAAGAATGAATGTAAATCATGTTCTTAGTAAGGGATTATCCTATTATGAGGGTCTATTTACAGTTCAAAACAAAGAGTTTCTATAAATGAGTTACAACTGCCCCAAAGCACATTTATCAGATTGAAAGGATTTATCACACAGTGATTGAAACTGACTAAAAGTTGAATTGTGAAACAAACAAAAATCTCAAAATAAGTTGAAGTTTAATGGTGCAGTAAAATTGGTACCGTGAATTTTATTATGAAAATATTAATAACTTCAAATTACTATAAAATTAAACAATGCCAAAGCAATGCAAAAAAAAGAAAAAAATCTTTCAAATAAAAAATAACCTAAATCTTTAGCTTTCCAAAATTTTGATTACTTGATCAGCGGTTGGGGAGAATAGTTATTTCCAATAAATGTATTCTGATAAAAAAAAACAGGAATTT